AAGGCGGGGGCCCAGCCGCTCCTGGGCACGATCCAGCTCCTCTTCCACGAGCTGGATACGCCTGTTCAGAGCCGCCACCTCCCCTTCAGCCTGTTGGGAATACAACCACCAGACCCAGGTCATGGATAAGCCACTCACCCACCCTCTGTCAGATGTTCTCAACTCATGCTCCCTTAAACCTGTGCAGGCTTCCCCTGAGCACACCGAGGAAACTTCCTCTTTCCCAAAGCTGCTTTTTGTTTGCTTAAACAAAGGTATCTCAGGAATTTAAAGGTATGAAGTATGTGCTGCTCCTTTCTTTCCTAATGGTACTTATCATTCCTGCCCTACAACAAAGGACTCATCTCCATGGAGAAGTATTTTCAGATCCCGGTGCTGCATTTACTCTGTAGGATTCCAGAGTTAAAACCTGAACTGTGTCCATCATGGCTTGTTCCCAGAACCTCACAGCAGATTTCTCTGCCCTTGGTTAAAGCCATTTCATTCTCTTTACGTGCTCAGCTGGGCAGATGCTGTTGGCGTCAGCATTGGGGAGTCCTGCTTTGTAACATAAATAGGGCAAAAATGAGATGGGTTCTTAAAATAAGTTCACTTCCCCTTTTCACTGCTTCCTGTAGTAGTTAGGGCGTTCAGCAGAAAGCAGTTCTTATAAGAGCTGTTTCTGTGTTACTGAATAAACTGCAGAGTAATTGGGAACACTATTAATGTTTAAAAAATAGACTAGGTAAGAAATGGAGGCTGCTGGGAGAACTGCTCACATGGAGACCACTCCAACAACTCAGTGTCTCTAAAGACATGGTGGTTATTACTATACTGCTCCTTTAAACGCTTGTTATTTGAAGGAAAATAAAGCCCTACTTTTTAACTGCCAAGTTTGTGCACTGGATTGTCCCCAGTCTAGGCACGACTGCCACAGATAAAATTAGCTTTTAATTATTCTCTTTTAAACACTTTTATGGGCTACAGATCCTGGAAGGGTCCTTGTTTGATGCGTTACGTTAAACACTTAGGAAAAGTAACTTGACTGGTCCCCAACTGCTGCTCCTAAGCTGGAGGAAGTGGTTTCCATTCGCAGCTGCACCATCTTGGAAAGGATTTCAGTGACTGATCCAAATGGAAGCTGACCCAGGATTCCTCTAGTCATCAATTACCCAGCATTTCATTTGTTTTCTACCCAGTGCTGTGTGTTTTAACTTTCTCGATTTACACACAAAGCATCCATCATGGAGAAAA